CGCCGCAACAATGATATTGAGGATCGGGTTGCACGCCGCAACAATAATATGTGAGGATCGGGTTGCGCGCCGCAACAATGATACATGATAAATGATATTGAGGATCGGGTTGCGCGCCGCAACAATGATACATGATAAATGATATTGAGGATCGGGTTGCGCGCCGCAACAATAATATGTGAGGATCGGGTTGCGCGCCGCAACAATGATACATGATAAATGATATTGAGGATCGGGTTGCACGCCGCAACAATAATATGTGAGGATCGGGTTGCGCGCCGCAACAATGATACATGATAAATGATATTGAGGATCGGGTTGCGCGCCGCAACAATAATATGTGAGGATCGGGTTGCGCGCCGCAACAATGATACATGATAAATGATATGGGTCGGGTTGCACGCCGCAACAGTGGTATTGTGGAGCGGGTTGCACGCCGCAACAAATGGTAATCATGGAGCGGGTTGCACGCCGCAACAATTATTGAGGCTATGTGTTTACATTTGAGTATTGATTCCTTGTTCACTGTGAACCTAAGTTGCTTTAGTTGTTACTCTGGATTATTGTTATTATTGTAACTCCCCATAGCATGTTTCCCCTCCCATATTGGTAATTGCTTTGTATTCGATTTCCGCTGTATATCTATAACTGCACAGGTTTATGTGGTGTCCAGTCTAGCCTCGTCACTACTTCGCCGGGGTTAGGCTAGACACTTACCAGCACATGGGGTCGGTTGTGCTGATGCTACACTTCTGTGCATTTTTGCACAGGTCTAGGTTTTGAGGAGCAGCAACAGCATTGGTACGGGAGCAGGTTTTCATTATCACGAGACTGAAGTAGCCTTGCAGGCGTCCGCAGGCCCGGCGTCTCTTCTCATTGTTTTCTTTTAGACTGTTGCCTCCTTGTTTCGAGACAGACAGCTGTTATATTTCTTTCAGACCTTTGTATTTAGTTTATTCTTAGTGGTTCGTGAGTAATGTGACACCAAAACTTGGGTAGAGGTTGTTTTTGACTATTCCGCGTTTTAAATTCATCATTTTAAGACAGACTTCCGCTATTGTTCTTATTAGACTTTATGTTCTATATTGATGTTATAAACTGTTAAAGATAATTGCTAGTGATGGAAAGGTAATTAAGTTGGCTTGCCTAGCTACCACGAGTAGGCGCCATCACGACTCTGATGGTGGGAAATCCGGGTCGTGACAGAAACTTTGCCAACTAGGTCTAGTATGGAATATTGCAAGGGGAACGCATATCAACATTTGGACTGAGCCATGACTTGGACCTAATATTACTCTTGGAAATTCTATAGAGGGACCTCTAAAATCTAATGAATTACATAACACACTCAGTCACCACATCATCAACACAAAAATTGAAACAAACTCATTATCCTTTGTATTTTCGGAACAAACTCTTTCCTTGATTAATCAAATTCACATCCCCACTTTAACCAACCCACACGCTTTTGATCAGATCATCTGGGGGCTCACTACCAATGGCCAATTCACTGTTAAATCACTATACCATAAGCTACAAGAGCCAAAAGTAGCTTATGAACACGATTGGCTTTGAAAATTAAAATTACCTCCAAAAATAATACATTTCCTGTGGCTAATCTCCCACCAAAGATTAGCCTCAGCTTCTTACCTCTACCACATAAATGTCACACAATTCAATACGTGTAATCTTTGTCTTGACACCGCATAAACAATTAACCATCTACTTTTCCAGTGTCCTATAAAGACCACTATTTGGTCTCAATTGAGACTTGACACTGCTTTAAGTACTTGTGACATACAACTCCTATCAACCATCCAAATCATACACCACTTAATAGCTAACACTCAAAACCTCCCGTTCAACTTGCCATCACGCATTCTTATTCCACACTTAGTATGGCATATTTGGAAGCTAAGGAACCACTATCTTTTTAATAGGAACTCACACACACCTCCTTCAACAAAACAGGTGATAACACAAGAAGTTGAATATCACTACCTTATTCAACAAAATGCACAACGATAACCATGCACACAAATGTATGTCAAATGACATCCACCAAATTTAGGTCGAATTAAGTTAAACGCTGATGGAGCATCCAAAACCAATACGTCTAGAAATGGTATAGGAGGAATATTCCGAAATACAATGGGACAATGCTTACTAGGATCCATGGGTAAACGTTCTACCTGTAACTCCACCTATATGGAATTAAATGCATTATTACAGAGTTTGCAACTAGCATGGAATCATCAATTCATTCCATTGGAAGTGAACGTGGATTCTACTGAGGTAATATCAATGCTTCGCAATGAAAATATGCAATACTCATCTACATTAATGGAATGCAGGTACTTAATACAACAGCTGGGTAATCATCCGGTTATTCACACATACAGGGAGCAAAACTACGTTGCACATACTCTCACTCAACATGGTTAGTCTGCTCATGCTAGTGACTACACAACAGTCTTCATCCAGGCACCATCCTTTTTGCAACCACACTTTTTGGCTGATCATCAAGGCACTGTCTACCCAAGACTGGTGAAGTCTCCATGTACAACCAACTTGTCCTACAATCCCACCTGTTTGGAATGTGATCACTCCAACGATGGCTGTAGTTTTTGTAATGTATTACAACAAGCTCCTTGTAATGACATAATTTAAATCAATATAATTTCGTTTGACGACAAAAAAAAAGGTAAGAAATATAGGGTAACATCATGGAAACCATTTGGGCTAATTGATTTTTTTGTGTTACTTTAAAACTAACTTAAATATAAATTACCTTATATGAATTATTTCTTTATATTAGTAACGTGACATAATTCTCATTTTTTCATGTTACAGTTCAATACTTACAATTTGGGATGCGCTAATATAAAGAATTTTAATCAACAAAAATCTATTGAGTTACTATAATAATAAAAATAATCATTAAGTCTATGAATTAATTATTAGCAAAAAAATATAATCCAACAATTATTCAAATATATTAAAAGTACAAAGTCCCTTAGCGAAATGTCGTTCGTCTTTTTTAACTTTAAAAATAAGTTTCACAGAGAACAAATATGTAATTAAGTTACTTTCCTAATAGTTAGGACTTTAAATCAAGATTTTTTTAATTATTACCTAATATTTAGGAGTTTTTTTTTTAAAAATTTATATTTAGGAGTTTGAAATCAACTAAATAAGGATAATATATATTAAGAAAAAAGAAGAGAATATAAAAAAGTAAAGTTTCTTTTCAACTAAGGACAAAAAATATTGTACAATTTTCATGTAAATCTTTTGTGCCTATATCGTACAAGGAAAATTTTATCGTGCAGATCAATTTTGATCCTTTATTTTCCTTTTCATACGAAAATATTTTCTTGGTTGTTTAAATTATATTTTATTGAAGTTTTTCACAACTATAATTATTTCATGTGTTAGTTTTCCTAATATTTACTTATTTAGGATTTTAAAATCAGTTTTATTTATCGAATGTATATTATTAGAACTATGTCAGAAGTCTTAATATATAAAATTTACAATCAATTAAAATTTTTACCATCTTTTACAATTTATTTTCTTAAGAAAGTATTTAAATTATTTTAATATAAATTGCTATTTTTCAATAACTTGTTCTCTCACGAGCAGATTGTGGAGTGAAGTAGTGAAGGTCACAATATTAATTTAAAATTCAATCCCAAATAGGTATAAAATTAAAAATCATAGTCAACCCATTTCGTTCCACAATGCCAATTTTATAAATATCAAAGTTAAAAAAAACATAGTCTTTGAAAAGAACAATTTATTCATTTGTACTAAAGCTCACAACATCGTTGGTAAATTATTTTGAAACAACAACAATTTCATACACATTCCATTTGAAGTATTAAAATTGCCTTTTAAGATTGAGGAGCAGCTATTTGACCTCAATCTGCTCTTATGACTCTTCGATTTTTGGAAATATTATTTTATTAGTAATATAGAAAAGAAAAAATTGAGCAAATTACAAAAAATGCAAACAAAAAAGATATTTTAATCGACGGTCCAAAAGAAATCAAATCAATCCATCAAAAGAAACCCTAGAAATCAACCCAAATCCCTTTAGGTTTGCCACCATATAAAAACTCTCACGTGCTCCGCTCCTCAACCTCTCGCCTCCTTCGCCCTTCTTGCTCCTCTGCGTTACACTACTACTTTCGAGTCTCTAGCTCCTCTGTACAATCAAAAATTTTGCAGTGATGTCGGACGAGGAGCACCAATTTGAGTCAAAGGCAGATGCCGGTGCATCTAAAACTTACCCTCAACAAGCTGGTACTATCCGTAAGAACGGTCATATCGTCATCAAAGGCCGTCCCTGCAAGGTTTCATATTCTTTTGCTACTCTTTCGTTTCAGTGTTTGTATGCATTCATATAATTTAATTTGAAACAGCTGATTTGTTATTATGGTGTAATTGATTGAATGTATCTGTGTGTGTTTTTTGGGGGCGGGCGTTACAGATGTATTTGCTGTTGCTATTATAGATCTGATGCTCTGTGGTTTTCTGGTTTTCATATCTTTTTTTTCGTTTGTTTTTAGTGTATGTTTTTTGGGTGTGATTGCTTACTGGGATATGCAATTGTGATATCTATTTTGGATTTTAGATCTGATGACTTGTGTGGTTAATAGCACTTGTGATTAATTAAGATTTTTTTTGTTTCGAGTGTACATATCTTTTGGTCTGTTGCCCCCCCGGGCTTTGGTTTGTTGTTAAGAGCGCACATATGCTCTGTGCGTTTGGAGCATGTCACACCCTGGTGATAAAAAAGCCTGGTATGTATTTAAGTGGAGAGGAGTAGAGGAACGGGCCCATGACCCAACAAGTTCCGAATTGTGTGGCTATTGTCCTTTGAGGGTTTCTTGGTTATCAACATAAAAACCTTTGGTATGTTTATTAGAATTTAAGACTTTGAGGTTCTGGAGTTTTATGCTTCATCCAAGTGATTAGGAGCACAAATGGAGTGGAATTGGCTGTAAAGATTCATATTGTTGATTGATTGCTTTAATATGTGCCATGATTGGAGGGGTCTGTTTTGTGCAATTGTGGTAGATTTGATTCTTACCTTGAAAATAGAGTAGCATAGTGGTAGGCAACCTTATTGAGAGAGCAAGAGTGGGAAAGAGCCACCATTGGGTTTGTGTATAGGGTCTTTTGGTGGGCGGGTGAGTGCGGTTTTGCCGCAGCGGAAGGGAAAAAAGGATTTGATATTTAGCTTCTGAAAAACCTTGCAAGTTTATTTTACTACTGTTTGGTGTTTATATTTCTAATGTTCAATTTATTTTTTCATAGATGTTATGGATTCTATGCAACTTCGTTTGTTGTATATCTAACCGTTAAAATTTAGTCTGCCTAATTTTTTCTTGTTAAACTGTCATAGTTATGGTGGCACATTTGGATAATCTGCATCAATTAACATACAGATTCTGCTTCAGGACATATCATAGATGCATTTGTGGTTTAAGTCATTGTTGCATTAATTCTACTATAAGCATAGTTCTAATTTCGATGCCTTTGATAACAGGTCGTGGAAGTCTCTACATCCAAAACCGGAAAGCACGGTCATGCAAAATGTCATTTTGTCGCTATTGACATCTTCACTGGAAAGAAGCTTGAGGATATTGTTCCCTCTTCACACAATTGTGATGTATGTGCCTCCCCTTTTCTTGTTCACGTGTTTATTGCCCATCTTAGCCCCAATTTTCGGGTTATAGTTGTGCTAATATTTAGTGATTATGTGTTCAAATTGCAGGTGCCCCATGTTAATCGTACAGATTATCAGCTTATTGACATCTCTGAAGATGGATTTGTATGTGCCTACATTCCCTTGTCCGACTCCTTTTTATATTTTTGATTGATGTGGTCTGATGTTGCTACACAATGTCACAGGTGAGTCTGCTCACTGAGAATGGTAACACCAAGGATGACCTTAGGCTTCCTACTGATGACAGCCTCCTTACACAGGTTAGTAAGAATTTGTGTAATCCAAAGTTGTACATTTCAAAGTGTGCAGCAGCTTGTTTCAGTTTCTGTATGTAGCCTCTAATTCTTTCACAAGCTCATTGAATGTCTACTGTAATAGTTTATTAGCTTGCCATTTCGTGTCTTTGAGCTAAATAAGTGATGGTGCAGATATTGGCCAGAATTCTTCAGACTTTGGCTGGTTGTCATTTGTTGTTTTTGTTAACTGTAGCTTAGCACTATGCAGTTGCTGATTATTTTTTAATGTGTTGAATTCAGATCAAGGATGGTTTTGCTGAGGGAAAAGACCTTGTTGTGTCTGTCATGTCAGCCATGGGTGAGGAGCAGATTTGTGCCCTGAAGGATATTGGTCCCAAGTAAATCTCTCAATTGGCGATTGTTCGATGCGAAGTTCGTTACTACCTTAAAAGTTGGATAGATATTATAGTCATGGAAAAAGGTATGGTCTTATGGACCAACTTGTTCAAGAATATTCTTCAGGATTCTCGGACCATTGCGAGTTAGATTTTCGTATTTTTGTTATTTTAACTTGTGTTCGTCTGAATTTTGTTCTACCTTAAAGCTTTTTTCAAAATTTGGTTACCTGCAGCTGCATACATTCTTCACCAATTCTGCTGCTCCTATTACGGGCAACTATTCTGGTTTCTCCTGCATTTTGAGCAAATCATTAAGGTAGATATCTGAACTCTTTGGGGTTGTACTCCAATAAAGGCTGGCATATGGCTAATTGGGTTCCCATCCCTGGCAAATTGTGTAGGCATATAGTAAGGATAGACCTATTCGGTTATTTTAAAAAATCATCGCACTTCATGTAGAATGACCCGTAGACATAAATTTAGATCTATGATAAAGTAGATAACTAAAATATACTGGTACAATTGGTGGTTGCCACGAGTTACCTTGTGTGAGTCAACCTGTCTTGTCAACTGTGAGCCGAAGTCCAAAATTTGTAAGTTTTCCAGATACGTATAATGTTGATTTCTGTTCGAGTGCAATATTATCCAAGAACGCCCCTCTTCAATCAAGGTGTATAGAAGAACATTCGTATTTCAAGATCCCATGTGAATCGAGATCATAAAGATGAAATGTCCAGTAACAGTTTCTGTCTTTGTCAGGCCAATTTTGGTCGTCCTCATGTTCATTTTTAATAGGCCAAATACATTTACAGCCCATCCAACTTGGCAACATTTTTCATTTTGACACTCTATCTCTACTTGTTTCATTTTGGCCCTCCAACTCTAATTTATAGGTTTCACCTTGGCCCTGCAACTCTATTTCTTATGTTCTATTTTAACACAAAAGCTGAAACCAGTGCAAAAAATATAGCACGTTAAATCTGAGGTGTAATAAACATTCAATTAAATATTGCCACCTGATTTTTTCTGTCAAAATAGCACGGTATAGCCAGTTTTCGGACTGGTCATTCAAAAATAGCCAGCGTTTACAAGTCAATGAAAATAGTCACTATTTTGCTGCAACAGAGACCGGTCCAGCATAATATACTGGAGTTCGATGCACCTGTGTATGAACTCCAGCATATTATAATGGACCGGTATACTTAGCTGGCTCCAGTATAATATACTGGAGATTGGAGCACCGGTGCTGCAAACTCCTGTATATTATGCTGGATCGGTATACTTGCTGGAACTCCAGTATATTATGCTGGAGTTCTAGTGTACTTATGCTGGAACTCCATCATATTATGCTGGAGTTCCAGCATACTTATCCTGGAACTCCAGTATAAAGTATACTTATGCTGGAACTCCAGCATAATATACTGGCGTGCTTTCCGGGTTTTGAACAGTGTTTTCGCTCAGATTTATCTTTACATGAAAAGTGTCTAAATTTCGATTACTTTTGAAACTGGGCTATTTTTGAACGACCAGTTGTAAATCTGGCTATTTTTAAATTTCTGCCATTTTTTCATCCATGTCAAACGGGTCAATACTAAAATACCTGAACCTGATCGTATTTTCCCATCCATTGTTGCCCCATCTTCATTCTGTAAGTTCCAAAGCTTTCATCTGCCGATTTATTACCTAGCCCGTTTAGATGAAATAAACTCACAAAAAATACGGTCGGGTTCAGGTATTTTAGTATTGACCCGTTTGGCATGGATGAAAAAAACAGGTGGCAACATTTAATTAGACATGTATTACACCTCAGTTTTAACGGGCTATATTTTTTGCACTGGTTTCAGTTTTTGTGTTAAAGTGGAACATAAGAAATAGAGTTGGAGGGCCATAATGGAACAAAGTAGAGATAGAGTGCCAAAATAAAAAAGGAAAACTTACACAAATGTCCCAAATAAATCTCAACTTACCAACCTCTAGCCATTAGTCATAGACTTACCAAAACTAGCCAATAAAAATTGAAAAACCAAATAATAGGGTCCTTTCTCCCAAAGAATCACGTGCAAAAATTACCTTCCATATTTTTAAGCGTGATTAGCAACATTAGATACAAGACGGAAAGGAAATTTTATGGACGGGGTAGTAAATAAAATCTCTACAATATTTCAAAAATCTAAACGAAAGAGGAACTTTTTTAATGGATATAGTTGAAATTCATTGAAAATATATAGTTAAGTCAATATACAAAATTTGAGGAAGATTGGAGGTGATTTGGACTGGTTTTGTATCAAAATTCGTAATTAAATCGAGTTGAAAAAAGTCTTCTGCGACACATGTATCAAACATGTATCACGCATGTATCTCACTCACAGGTATACATGGATATATATGTGATACACAATTGATACAAATATGATACATATATGATACACAGTGTGATATACATATCATTTTTTTTTATGTTCAGCTTTTACTTCGAATTTTCAATTCAAACCACCTCAAAACTTCACCAAATCATCCCAAAACTGAGATTCAAGCTCCTTAAGTTGTGCCCAATCTATTCTAATAACACCCACTCAAAACAAAGCAAAATTTTGATATTTTTTTTGCTACAAATAGCTAATTGGCTAATTTGGCTAATATTAGTAATATTTTATCAATTGGCCAATTTTTATAATGAGCTACTTATAAATGGACATAGCTGATAATTTTCCAATAAAAAATGATGCAAATTTGGATGCACTGTATATGTATTCGACCTTTTTATTACTAGCACTAGCATAGAAGGCTAGAACCTAGAAGTGCAATGAGATTGTCTTTGAGACAAAATTCATTAAAGTTTTGGTTGCGGGTGTAGATGAACTCACTGTAATCGGGTTAAATATAGGGAGAATGATACAATTATCCATAAAAATAAAATTATTTATTCTTGTTTACCTATTTATTTTTCTATTCATAAACTAATTACATCTCTTACCCATAGTAGTTTTTGTGTGGAATTTTTTCTTTATTCTCCAATTTTTTTTTATTTCCATGCTTCTTTTCTTTTTTTTTCTTTTCTCCTTTTCTCTTTTCTCGTTTTCTTATTATTTTTTTCTTTTTTTCCTTTTCTAATTTCATTTAACTTCTTTTTTTAATATTCTTTTCCTTTTCATAATGTAATTTCATTTATTGTTTTCACTATTTTTTATTATTCTTTTTCCTATACTATTACTAAAGAAAAATCAAATTGTGTACCATGTAGCTAATACAATCAAAAAATATTTAACTAACATATGATATCAGTATAGTATATAGCTATACCAACAGGGTATACAATTGTACACAAAGAGTTAAATTTTTTTAATTCAATTATTAAACTGAAATAATATAAGTTGTCAATAAAAATTTTAAAAAATTCTAAAAGGATCTAATTGTAAGAGTATACCGTTACATTATATAGCATAATATATTTTTTTTTTTTTGCATTTTCAATTTGCCCCTCACGCTGGGTAAAAGCTTAAAGCAAATTAAAAAGGAAAAGGCAAGTGAATTTAAGGGTAATAAGTATACTATTATGGTATATTATATACTATTACATCATACTGTTACAGTATATTGCATATTATTATATTATATTATAAGAATATATTGTATACTATAATAGTATATTATTGCAGTATAACTATATACTCCTATAGTATATCATATACTGTAGCGGTATACTGTTAGGTAACTATGTTCTTCTTCGATTATTACAATATACCATTGCAGTATATTGTAAACTATAATAGTATACTGTTGCAATATAGCTATATACTCCTACAGTATATTGTATACCGTAGCGGTATACTATTGGGTAGTTGTGTTCTTCTTCGATTTTCAGTTGCAAATTTCGGTCTCAATCACCTCAAATCAGCTCCAAATGCTATCAAATTTCAGTATGAACTTCCAGAAGGTACTATAAGCAATATTTAACAGCACCCACTTTGAATCAAACAAGAAATCTTCAAAAATAAAATTGAGTTTCAAGCCCAACAATGGTGGATATTCAAATACACATAAAAATTTAGATCTAGGAAGCTTACTCGAAGATACTATAAGTAATAGTTTATAGCGCCCACATCGAATCAAACAATAAATCTTCAAAATAAAATTTCAAATTCTGCAGCTTCAAGCTCAACAATGGTGGGTCTTCATACACACATAAAAATCATAAGAAGAGGAGGTAGAGCAATAGGGTTTGACCCTCTTAATGAAGATCGATCTGGCAGAGGAGAAGTAGATCCATTTTAAGTCCACTACCAAGTAAGCTTGCAAAAATGAAGTCAGATATTTTAACATTCTGTACTTCAAATGCGAAGGCAAATAGCTGTGGGCCGGGTAAATAGTCTTGGTTGCATAGGTAAAGTAAATAGTTTAGGTTTGGATATATATGGGTAAATAGTTTGGGCTTAATGGGTATAAAGTGAGATTTTTCCTTAAATACATTTACTTAGTCGAACATTAAAAAGATACTTTCCACAATATTTAGTCAAAGTTGAGTGACTTTTTTTTTACAAATATATTTTAGCGACTTACATGCAATAAAGTGAAAGCTGAGTGATAAATTTGTGAAAATCTAGACACTAAATCGACACATGTTACCAATCGTATTGTTTTGCACTCTAGAATATGGTTGGGCATAGTTTGGTAAATACCGAATTACCGTACCGAAATCGAAAATTTTAGTATTTGGTATACGGTATTTTGGTATTTGGTTTAAGTTTTAAAAAAAATTGGTATTAGGTATGGTATTTGGTATTTTAAGATAAAATACCGAAATACCGATACCGTACCGAAATATATATTATATTACAGAAAATGCATATTATCAGTTATAACATAAATATAAAAAATCTAAAATTTTACTTTCCTTTATTCTCAAAGTTCATCAATTAACTCTAAACAAGTAACAAGACATTTCTAATGATCAAATATTCTTTTATGTACAATTTTCTCTATTTGGGTCGATATTTGCTAGTTTTGGACAAAATTTTTGTCAACAAACATTTTCAGTTTTGTATTTTTGAGTACTTTAATTAAGAATATTAGAGTGTATGGTTCTATGCACTAGTTAATATTCAAACCGAATAAACCGAATTTACCGAACCGAATAAACCGAAACCGAAAGGAGAAAAACCGAACCATACCGAATTTAATTAGGTACGGTATTGGTTTAGGATTTTAAGAAATCGAATACCGAAAATACCAAACCGAA